GCTGTGTCTAACCTCATATTTATAACACAAAAACTTACAGTAACTGCTATGTGTTAGATTGCTGAATTGTTTGTTGATTGTCTTTACCCACAGATAACCTTTGACAACCTTTTAGATTAGTTTTTATTTTAGTAAGAAAAAGGTTTGAATTAGAAAGCATTCAGTGTTACACAACGATGTTGTGCAGAGGGTAAAGAACCTTTTCAGCAGGATATCTGACACCTGATGAATCTGATGGTGTCAGTATTAAAACCTGATACTTAAGGTTATTTAAAAAATAAGTAAAAAGAAATTTCAAAAAAATAAAAGTAACTTAAAAAAATGGATTTGGAAGACAATGACAGTACAGGCCCTTTAAAGCAATTCTTTTTATTAATAAGACATTTGAATTGAGAAAGCTTCCTGGAGAGGTGGCGAAACGTCATCAAATCTTGGAAACCAAGTCCAGTGGATTTTTCTGAACTTTTATGGAAATTTTATTAATAAAAGAGAAGCACTTCTGCCTGGTTTTATGGTCTGGACCACATGTAGACTTTTTAAAATTTGATTTTGATCCCTGGTTTATTTGATTTTACATTTACAACTTGCAAAAAGTACAATAAGAAATCAAATAAAACAAAACAGGTAAGTCTGCCTTTAAGCTGGTTCAAATTTTTCTCCCAAAAGACTTTTGTGTTCTGAATACATCCTTAAAGTGACCCTGCTACTGAATCACTTCTGGTTTGGTTAAAATAACTGCCTCGCAGATGTGACGCATCGAAACATGGATGCTAGGCGGAAGTTCAGCTGAATAAACTGACTGCTCACCTTCAGCCGCCTAGAACACTGCCAATCAGCTTTGAACCACACCTCACGAAAGCCAATCAGCATCCAAAGTTCATCTTAAAAGTCCTCCGATCCGCAGCTCGTCTGCTACCTCGTGCGCAGGCGGTGGTTGCGCTGTGTGACTTCATTTAGATGACCCCGTTTCAACCCACCTCCACCCTTGTAGATAAAACTTGATCAAAGTTTAATTATTTCGGGACTCTTACTGCATTCTGCGTCTCATTTCAACTGATCCGACAGAAGACCTTTCCTCTCCACTGTCGCTTCATGCTTGCTCATCATGGACAGGCTCTCTCAGCCTGTGTTATCCAAACTGGACTTCCATCTTCCAGGTCCCTGAGTGAAGCTCTAGTATCAGCTCATGCAGTCCACTGGATCTCCCCATAAAGCTCAGCAGACCGTCTCGCTAACCAGCAGTCTACAGACTGACCAACTTTATCTATCTCCACTCCACCACCAGTTTCAGGCCTGGAGGCAAACAACCATGTTCTTTGCTCCTATTCATGCATATCTATCAAAATTCAGTGCTATGTTTCCTGCCGAGGTCTGAGCGCCAAAGACCAAGTAATTGTATCAATAAATTTCTTCTAATTGTCTTTTCTCTCCGTGTGAGTTTCAGATTGAAATGTCTTTTACTAAATCTACGTAAAAATTCCACATTGCAGTTTCATTGGAGCATTTCAAATTGGTCCATATCACTCACATCTAATCTAGTTGTGTTCTGATAGTTTTTTTTTCTTTTTTCTGTAGGGCTTATATGAGTGTGAAAGAACTAAAGGATGAGTTAAACCTGAGCGGCAGCGACACACTCAATGTGTTTTTTGCCAGCAACTCTGTACGAGAAGACCTGGCAGGAGCAGCAACTTGGCCATGGGCAAAGGAGGCCCTCACACACCAAGGTCAGTTTTATCAATAATACCAAATATAGAGCTGATTATGATATCTATTCCCATTTATGGACTTTTTCTTTAGTTCTATAACATTTTTTCTTAGTCGTTTTCCATTATTAATAAGCTTTAGATTTTCAGCTATTGCTTAGTTTTTTTTGACTAATTTCTTTGTATCACTTTCTTTTAGTCAAACAATAAACATTTTCCTTTCCCCTCCAATCTTTTACAGGCATCATTGAAATAGATGAGAGCAACAAGTTTTGACATATATAAAGGGGAATTTATCTCCACTCTGAAGTCTTAGGGAAATAATTTTAAGATGGGACCCTATTAAAGTGTTGTCATATTTTATTGAACGATAAACTGACAAGCACAACTTTATTCTCCCTGGTTGCATTAACAATACAACACACAAAGGGGAATTGATTTAGTAGGTGATTTAAATTTAGGTTAAAACTTTAGTTTCAAGTATTTGCATTTCTGTTGCAAAAAAATGAAAGATAAAAACGTTCTGTTATGGCTTTAATCAGCGCTTGCTATGACAAAAATCTTAGTGGTGATGCAACGGAGTATCAAACAATCATCTGATTGGCATTTTGATTGAAAACTTACCGAGTGACCTACAGTAACTGGCTTAGGTGATAATCAGGTGTAGAACAAATCATTTCACTTTAAAGTTGTTATTTTAAAGAGTTTGATTGTTTTAAGCTACAGCAATATCAACAAATGAATCAAAACAAACATATAGACCTGGCCTACCTGACAGATAAAACAAAGGATATGAAAATAGTTATTTTATTTAGGTCACACTTAAATGGGCGTCCATTTACCTACAGTGCTTTGTGATTGTAGTCCTACCCTGTTAAACTTTTCATAGGTTGTCAAGATGAAAACTCAAACTTGAATGTATTTTATTAAGATTTTATGTGAAAGTCCAACACAAATTAGTAGAGAAATGCACTGTAAATATATATAATATGTATGCTAAACAACCTGACCAACCTAATAATGTCAGATGTCCATTAAAATTGCCTTCAGAAGTCTCACCTGACATCACTGTTCATGATATTTTTAGCTGAGCTAAACAACTTTCCCTCTCAGACATGTACAGTACTGCCTTGTAGGGGGCGATAACGCACTGGTTTCTATACTTTCTATTCAAGGAAGAGGCAGAGGAGAAGAATAGAACAAATAAAGCCCACTCTCACCAGAATATCATATCCACATTGTTAAAATCACAAATTTTACCTCTGCTGTAGCTTTTAAAGGTTTCCTGTTTCATCTTCTGCTCATGATCTGATCTATCGTTCTCTTCATCTACTACAATGTTAATAAGCAATGTACTAAATAAAATAAATGTATTTGGAATGTCATGTTTGTAAGTGTTTTATACTGAATGTAAGAAAATTTGTAAACAGTTGAGACTGTCTTGTTTGTTTTGGTTCGTCACAGTTAGAAGATCATCTCATTCTCACCCATTTTTTTATTTATACGAAACCTTGATACATTTAAGGCTTACAAAAAACACTCTGAATGAGTTCCAGTATCACAAACTATTTATTTATTTATTAAGATGCTGCATGCTTGACTCTTAATAAGTCATTTTATTTCTATTTAGTTTTATTTCATGTACAGTCAGATTATATTTTAAACATACTGTTGTTCTCATGCATTGCATAGGTGGGATGGTCCTCAACCCATCCTACTTTGGTACTACGGGCCACCAGAACACAATGATCCATGAGATGGGGCACATATTTGGATTGTACCATGTCTTTAAAGGGGTGAATGAGAGGGAATCCTGTGATGACCCGTGTCAGGTAGGACAGGTTCATGCTTCTGTCTCTGAGGACGCTGTTGATACATTTTTCATGCACATTGTATGTTGTCCTTCCTTCCTTCCTTCCTTCCTTCCTTCCTTCCTTCCTTCCTTCCTTCCTTCCTTCCTTCCTTCCATCCATCTCAGAAACGGTCAACAAAAGATTGAGAGCTTTAAAGTTTGGGATTTAGACATGAAAAAGATGTACTTTCTATCTTATTTTTATTTACAATAAAAAAAAAAAAACTGAAATCCCTCCATCAACCATTATCTAACCAGGTTAAAACCCAAGCAAGACTAAGGTCTCTCTTACAAGATTATCCTGGCCTAGAAGTTAACAGCAAGCACTCTAGAAACACAAATCACTCAAAATAAAAATGTGCAGCTTTCCATAAACATTAATTCTGAAAAAGCAGTACAGTTGAAAATAAAGTGCATAAACTGTCAACAATATTGACAATCATTATATGTTAACCTTAGTGTATCATGTGTTTTCCTAGGAAACAACCCCATCAATGGAGACAGGAGATCTGTGTGCTGACACAGCACCAACCATCAAATCTAAAGCCTGCCAGGACCCCGAAGCGTTTAACGACTCCTGTGGATTCACTATCTACCGTAACACGCCATACCGCAATTACATGAGTTACACAGGTATATAAAGAACATCTTAATCTTTCTATAGGAAGAAGGCAAATTATTGTTCAAAACAAAATGTACTGTATATACATGTACGTAATGCTTAGGTCATTGGCCTATTATTATTTAGATTTTCAAAAACACTTTTTTTCTTTTTTGTTTATAAAATCTCATTAGATGACAACTGTACAAACCACTTTACACCCAATCAAGTTGCCAGGATGCATTGTTATCTTGACTTGGTCTACCAGAAGTGGCTGACAGACAGTCACCCTGCCCCTGTTCCACTTCCCCCGATAGTCACTGGACAAAGTACTAACTCTGTTTCCATATATTGGCTCCCACCCATGAGAGGGTCCCTTTTTCGAAGGTATGTGGACCTCATATTACCTCACGTGTTATCATTTCTAAATCAGCCTACTGTACTTCTCTTTTTTCTTTTCTTTTTATTTTCTCATGTATACTGTGAAATATCTCCCCACTGAAATGTGCTATATAAATGCCTTACTGTAGTACTTGAGGTAAATAAAGAGGAAATGGTGCGCAAATAGATAAGTGTTCAAATGTCTTCAAACCAGCTCTATTAAAAGATGCCTACTATCTTTTTCTTTACTGTCTGACCATAAATCAAACCAACATAAATTTTTTTTGATAAATCAAAGAAAGATTAGATCAGTAATAAGTTTACTCAAGTACATAAGGATTACTATACATTACATTATGAAAGAGGCTCAATTTCCTGATGGTATTTGAAGTTCTTTAATTAAATCTTCCAGCCTTTAGATTATATATTTCTAAACTACCCATCATCTTCTAATGACTATATTGTATTCTCAGTCTTGTCAGGAATATTAATGGATGGCCTAATTATACATGTGTATCTTAGTTCCCCATTTGATGTGTCTGGCATTGACTGTGGAGACTGCGAGAAAGACGGTGTTTTCCACCAGTATGCCTTTCAGGCTTCCTCACCCCGTATCTGTGACACATCAGGCTACTGGACACCCGAAGAGGCAGTAGGTCAGTCAAAATGATTTGTTTCTGCTATGTTTGTCATGAATGAGTCTTTATGTCTTTCTAATTCATAGCCCTGTAGTTAGTAATAAAGGTTAATAGCACTTTTCACTTCATGGTTGAATTATAAACAATACTGGGGATGAAAAATCACCAGAGCTTCATCAAAACAGATTGTATTTCCATATCTCCTCAATCAAACATGTAGTGCTGAAAGGAAAGTTTGTGTTGGTAATGAGGCTTATGCTTGTTTTTATTCATGTTTCCCTGTCAAAACTGTAGCTGACCAAGGTAAACACTTTCTCTCATGTAGTTCTCATTACAGGTAGGTATTAAAAAGCCAGGAATGTGGCAGTTCCAGTTAAAGCTCTGTTTCAGTCTTGTGTTTCTCTAGCGCAGGTCAACTTTTCCTCACATTCACACACGCTTATACAATCACAAGCAGTCGAGTCCTTGTAAATTCTAGGTGCGTGCAAGGCTAATAGCTCCTGGAAGAGGAAAAAGCATAAAATCATTAAATGATAATAACACTCTGTAACAGACCTCTCTCTGTGTCTGTCTTGATTTGGCGAAAATAAGAACAAGGATTCTTAAGTGTACAGTGCTTTTCAAGGGGTTCCATATTCACTAAACCTTTTCTCATTTCATCATGTTAAATATACAAACTTCAAGGTTTGTTTGTATTTATTTTTTTAAGCTTTGCGTGATAGAACAACATGAAAAAAAAAGCATAAATGTGGAGTTCTAACTGAAAATATTAATATTTGGCTTCCTTTACTCTGATTCTCAACAACATTCCCCCCACATCAACAACATTTAAAGGTCATCTGTTAGAAAATGTGCACTGCAAATTACCCAGAGCACATCATTTTCAATGGTGACAGCATGATGCTGGACAACCTTCAATTTACAGCCAGAGATACAATACAAAGGTTTAGACTGAAGCATATCATGGGTTAGAATGGCCCAACAAAGTCCAGACCCAGAAGAGATTAAGAATTTGTGAATTAATTATCAAAACTAATATTCATCCAGTCCAAATGATCCTATTCTTTATTTTTACTATGATAAATGGGAAAAACTGTAGTTACTGTATTTGAAAATCCAGTAGCAACATACCTGAAAAGCTGTAAGTGAGGTGAGAGGTGTATATCTGAGGTACGAATGCCTTTGCGAGCCATTGTAGGGCTTTAATTGGGCTAGTGTTGTCCCTGTTGTAAGCCCAAACATGTTTCCTGTACTTTTGAACAGCACACTTACCAATTATAATATTTTTTGAAGAGGTATGGTTTCTTAAGACAAGTCAAATTGGGTGAGAGCAAGAAAGGAAATAAAATAAACAAGAAACAAGGAGGAAATCTCAGAGAGGGAACACTGGAAATGAGCTCAACCAAAAAAACTGAAAGTAAAAACACAATAAGACTTTTCTTCTCTTCCATGGAAACTCTACCCAAATATGTGGAAATCCTCTGCTGGAATTTATGCTTTGAAAACAAGCGGCAAAGAGAAGCAGGGGGATTACAGCTACCTCTTTCGCTGCGGGATCATAATGATGATAAAGAGTCAATTACAGTCTTACACTAAACAGAGGTATGCACCTAACTGGAGACAGCCAGTCTGTTAGGTTTCCTCACTTCCATCCCGCTGTGTCCCATAAAGACAGTGTCATCTAAAGTATCTGCTGAGTTGCCCTGTATGACTTTCAGCCAGAGGCAGGGAAAGGACATTTTAACAATTCAGTCATCTCAAAAGATGATCCTGGCCAATTGTTGTGTGCTTTCTCGGCTCATTTGAGTCAAATTTAAGAGCTTGTTTCAAGTAGATCTTTCCTCTTTGAGGCAGCAGAAGGTTTCATGCAGTAATTGAAGTTCCAACCGCCTCGCAGTTTGAAATAAATCTGTTTAAAGGCGATAGATAGAAGTCTCATTCATCTTGGCCATTAGGTGGCGTTCCAGTGCTCACGCCGCTTTTGTTCCATACTGTTTGCCAGCCGGTTGCCAGGTCTGCTGTGGTCAAACATTGAGCCTACCCATTCAGAAGAAAAGCGGCAATGTATGTATGTGTACTCAGCCCCTTTGCTTTCTGAAGTCAGTACCAGCGCTCAAAATTTCAGAGATTTTATTTTTTATCTTTATAAGTTGTGTATTAAAAAACAATAGAAAATTACCAAACTTTTTTTTGTGTGTGTTGAACCCGAGAAAAATAACTGAGAATGAGCAGTTTTTTAGCTATATCAAGGAGTTGGTTGGATTTGGCAACGCCTGAGCTCTATCTCACTTGACTTCAGCCTAATTTTCTTATTGGGGCAGAATTATTCCTTATTAAAGTCTACATAGTAAACAGAAGTAAATGTTTGAATATTTTGGACCCATTATTTATATACTGTTTTTCAGTAAAGGTAATACTTTTGTTTTTCACCAATATAGATTTTAAGAGAATGTGTTATTATTTTATTTATTTTTAAAAGCGATTAAAGATACCAGGTAGTAAAAGAAAACAGTTGTAACACAATCATTTAAAGGCAGTTCTTAACAAATGCACTTTTACAGACTTCGCAAGGTTTATTCCAGATAAGTGGAGCATAGGAACGAAATACCGTACATCCTTGCTATCCTAGAGCCAGGCCTGTTTGTTGAACTCTAGCTCCGGAGTTTCATTAAGGCTCAGCCCAAAGAAACTATAAGAAGTCCCCTAGATGTGAACCTACCATCTGAAGAGAGATGCATTCTATCAAACTGGCTTTACCTAAGAAACGCAAATGAGCAAGTGCCAAGACCTAATAGGACAGTTGGCAGGAGTAAGAGGAAAACTGATCAAATCCAATTGATAATGACCAAAATATTTGGTTTAAATCAGTGCACCTGTTATAAAAGCCAGATATGTTATGTTTACATTTTCATATATTTTCTTCCTAACATAATATTAGTCAACTGATATAACCTGGTGCAGGTTGTGTGCACTATTAAGTGTTTACAGCCCTGGGGGAGGGGTGGCCTAGTGGTTAGGGCATAAAGCTTGGAATCCTGAGAGACTGAGTTCGAGCCCCACTCCCACAGACTGCCACTCTCGGTCTCTGAGCAAGACCCTTAACCCCACACTGCTCACTGGGCGCCGCACAATTGTAGCCCACTAAGGGGATGGGTTAAATGCAGGGGTAAATTTCTGCAATAAGAGATCAATAAGGTGAAATTATTGCAAATTTATGGATCATAGTTCCAGATGTTTGGCATTTTAGCAGAGGTGAGGTATAATTTTGAGATCCGCTTGAGCTTGGGAAGAAATGAAGCTGCTGTTTGGCTTGATGTTTTAAGCTTCATTTCTAGCAGCTGTTTAATCATAAATGTTTAAGGTTGTAATGTTTCTGAAAGAGTCAATCCTATTTTAGGTTAGCATTTTTTAGATGCTGATTTGGTTTTATCTGAACCAAAAAAGTTTCTAAGCAATAAAATATTGTGTTAGTCTTTAAGCTTGATTATGCATTCACATCTTAAAAATGTAATGTACAAAAAGAAAAAACTTAATTGCTTATTCACAATGCCAAAATGTCCATAAATAGTTGCCTATAGATCTTGCAATAAAATGCCCCCCCACTCCCTCAATTTCAGAATGAAAAACCTTGATGTGGGATATCTCTGCTTTGAGCACTAATGCAGTCATACTCATATACATGCAGACAAGTAACTGCTAAAAAGACAGGCTTTGCCAGCAGCAAGTTTATGTTCTAATGTGGAAATCTTATAGTCTATTTCATGTATGGTCTATTTTGTAGATCTTTGGGCTGTGTATTAACCTTATACCAGTACTAATGCTCACTTCTTATCATTTAGATCCAAATTACATGCTGGCCAGGCTTTATGGGACAAAGTAAAAGAGGAATAAATCAGAAAGAATAAATTAATCTACTTAAACCAGGGTGCACACTCTGTTTTTCTGTTTTGTAAATGGACAAAGTCACCGACATTTTCTAAGTGGCAAACAAAGCCTTGTAAAAGTATTCTTACCCCTTGCACACTTTTATTTCTCAAACCTTTTTTAATATGTGATTCTTTCAAGTATGAACCATTTCATTTATTTATTTTTTGTGTAAACTATAAAATTTTTTTTTATTTTAATCAGTTGTTCCAACAAAAACACCACTTCTCACAGTTTTTTTTGCTCTGAACAAGCTTTATTTGTGTTCTACCCAAGGGCCACCTGATGTGGAACAAGCTTGTGAACACAGTCTGCAGGCCTGGAGTCCTGAGCTCATTCTCTATGACACCAACGTGACATCACCATGCCCCGAAACGGAGGGCTGCACCCTAACTCTACATTTCCTGCACCCTGTCATTCCACACAGACTCACACTTTGGGTAACCTATATCTCTGCAAGTAAGTATCAGAAGAAAGCCAACATGTGGCTTTGTGCTGCATAACTAGTGACGATTTTTTATATATAAATGAGAATTTGAAAAAGGTGTACAGCTCATTAAAACGTTCTCAGATGAATGCATGACAGTTAAAGGGTATTTTATGTAAATAGGTGCTCGAAGGTATAGTGGATATATTGTGAATTTTTGAAAAGACCCACCCTCTCCAAAAACGGCCATAAAACAACCCTGTACCTGCCCCCTGAGAGGGAACGCCTATTAAACGCGTGCGAGAGCATGCACAAGCCCTTTTCTCTTCGTGTAGGCTCTGTTTAAAAGTTACTGTTAGCATTGATCATACAAGATTACTTTAAAAAAGAAGATTTTCAATTTTTCCACCATATCAGACTCACCACCATTAAGTGAAAATGGGGATGAGCACGTAGGACATCATTGTGTAAACATATTACCAGAATGATTGACAATTAGAAGGACCACTTGTTTTGATGATCCACCCAGAAATAGAACATCCTCAACTATACCTTTAAGGTTTTCTTTACTTTTCTGTGAAGTCAATAATACTGACTGATCTTAATAATCTCAATGTTTTCAGTACTCTGTTGTCATATTACCAACATATAAACATAATGTGTTACAGCAGCAGTGGAGCTTTTAAGTTTTAACGTATTTTTGGTCTAAGATTTAAGCAATGTAAACCTCCTTCAAAATGTTGGGTAAATAAGATGTTATAGACTAAATCTTAAATGTTAAATTGAAAACAATGTAGTAGATCACCAAATCTATTTATAACCTAAAATATCATTAAATGGTCTCTTCTTAAAAAATGTTTTCTTATATTTGTATTACGTAAATGTTTTGTTTAAAATTTAAGGAGTCCTTGCCTGGAAATCTAACATTTCTATGTTAATAACTTGCGTGTTGCTGTTTGGCTTCAGTAAAAATACAAAGAATGATTTTAGGCCTTCACTTGAATTAATATAATTCATGGAATGGTTTTAACAGTAGCCCATTAGTGCTTTCATCAGTATTGCACCAAAAAGGCTTATTCTAACAATCAAGTAGTCGCCAGTCTGTCAGTATTACTGATGTGTAACTTTTTACCTATGAAGAAACTGGGTAAAAAATGGTAAACAAACCATGACTAACTGCTAATATTGCTAACTATACATTCACATGAACACACAGTTAAAATTCTCATGCGTATCCATGTGAGGAAAAAAATAAAAGCGTCACGAAAAGGGTCAAAATGCGCTCTGTTTATTTTTTTTCTCCTAAAATTATTAAACATGAAAGCAATTTCAGATGGATTAAATATGTAAAATACCAGGTTATGGTTTCTTTAAACAAGATATTAACATTTCCATTTAGGTCAGGAAAACCCATAGGGTGTCATGAGGTATTTTATATTTTTTAATGTAACTGAAAACAATACAATTTACGTCAAAAATAGGTTATGAATCCTTAAGAAAAAAGTGAATAACACAATATTACATGCATATATATATATATATATATATATATATATATAAAACTCTAGTAACTCAGATGACAGATATTCATAAAATGGTACTTTTTAATCTTACTGAAGAACACTTAATCCCACCTAACATACATATTTGTACCCTCTTCTCTTCACCTGTCCCAGACAACCCTGCTATAGCCAATGTTGAGCTGATTACTGATGCTGGGAACAGCATTAACCTTGGGCCACAGCATGTCTACTGTGACATACCCCTGACGTTGCGGCTCGAAACCAACAACGTGGCAATATCTGCTATTAAACTCTGCACCTTTGATGAGAAAATGGAGATCGACGCAGCCATGTTGTCTTCAGGCCCAGGCAGCCCTCTTTGTTCCGGTTGCCAACCTGTGCTGTACCGAGTTCAGCGTCAGCCAGCATTTACCAGCAAATCCCCTCCGCCTCAGATGGAGCAAACGTTCACCGACAGGTAAAGGCTCAATGTTGGCTCATCCAGAAGACCTGATGTTTTCTTAAAGGATATAAGCCCCCAAATGCTAGCCTTTATTAATAAAGCCAATAGTGGGTAAAACCAAATCCATGTGAAATGAATTAGGAGGTGCAGTTGGGCATGGGAAAGTGGTATGACATCAACCAGAAATATGGCGCCTTGCAAAAGTATTTTTAGACTTTTTTCACATTCTTTGAGCTTTTAACTATAGATTTAAATATAATGTATTGGCCTTTATGGTTTACCTTCACAAAAGTAAATTGTGAATTGGAAAAAAATACATAGTTATTAAAATCTCCTGAGAATAAATCTGAAAAGTGTGCCATGCATTTATATTCAGTAAGTTGTACAACCACATTTTCATGCCAAAGTTTCTGTATATGAAGAGAAATGCAGGTCCAAAAGTAATGAGTAAAGTCAGCGTGACCTGTCAAATTTTACTTTATGATAAAATGTCAAACCTTTTTGAACTCAAATTCCTGTAATTGAGACTACTGACATAAAAAACATTAGTCCACCAACAGCTGAATCTGTAATATAAACCAATGTTATTTTGGGACAGTTTTGGATGTCAGACCGTATCTGCTGTAGTAACTTGAGCTCTACAGCTCAGAATTTGGCCAAGCATTTAAAACAAAAGTAAGCCTGCAGTAATTAAGAAGGTAAAAACATAAAAATAAAAAAAAAGAAACAGAGTCCAGCCCTGTATAGCTGTGTTTAGCAAATAATATATCCTTATTTACTGGTGCCTTTCAAAAACATTTAGTTTTATTAAACCTTTTTATATTCTCTTATCTTACATCCTTAAAATTGAATAATTTTGACAAAGTGGTGCATTAGTGTGAGCTAAAAGGGCAATTATTTGTGGTTTCCAAAATATCTTTATCCTAAATACTGCAAAGAGTGGTGTGGTATTGTATTCAGCTCTATTTATTCAGGAAGGTCAGTTTTTTTTGTTTTTTTTTCTACCTAACTACTGCTTTGAGCTTCTCAACAATATTCTCCCAGATCAGTCTGCTGTGCTTTTTGACCTCATGATCCTGTTTGTTCTCTAACGACATCAAACAAATCTCCTGGATCTTTGCAGAAAACCTGTATTTCTAAACAGATCAAATTACACTCTGCACCCTCTATTAAAAGGTCTAGTAATGAGGTTGATTCTAAACAGGGTCGCATTGGATTTTATTTAGGGGCAACAAAACAAAGGGGTCTGAATTCAAATATCATTGTTGGTCCTCATGATGGGTGTGAGCTTTTTGTATCTATGTCATACAATCCCAGGTTTGTGTCTGTAGGTTGTGATAATGTGAAAAAGGTCAGGGGTTTGAATACTTTTACCCTACTCAAAATAATAAAAGAATGGATCTTGAGTTAAACTTTGGCTAAAATACTTGTTTTTGCAAAAGATAAGTGCTGCGCTTAAAAGGAATAGCAAAAATGCTCTGTCTTTTGTAGCCAGTTATTTTTTCCTTTCTATTAGCTATGAATTATTAGCCATAATGTGAAAGCAGTGCCAGCATATAATGTCATGGACACATTATAGTCGAACATATAAATTAGCTCACAGGAAAAGAGAACAGACAAAGATATGGCCATAAGCAAATTCCACAGCATGTCTCAGTGTATGTGTCCTCAGATTTACTAATCTGCAGACATGTCTTTTAAAAGTGTTTGGGTCTGGTTCTGTTTAAGAGGCTCAGAACACAACTGTTTCCAACAAGGGGATGCCGTGTGTAGCTGATCCAAATCTTTTTCAACAGCCATATACTTAATCAAAAGCTTGCCGGAGTTTCGGGCTGACTTGAATCCGTTTGTATCCTGTCTCATATTGCGGGGTGTCCAAATGATTACTGTAGTCCAACTATAACCACCGCAAACTTTTCTTTTTTTATATAGGAAAGACCCTTCTCCCAAAATATCTGACATGTCTGTGCTGTAATTGTTTTTGTACATTTAGAGCTGGTTTGTGTGTGTGAGGATATGGCAGCTGTATCATATGATTGCAGATAAATGGATTTAAAATTGTGTGTTCTGGATTTCAGAGAAGCTGTCACTATTTTAAAGGGAAGGCGAGATGTTCGATGCGCGGAGCTTCAAAAAACAGCTTATTTTTCAGTGAACACGTCTTCTATGTTACACAAGCTGCATCTAAGTGCAAAAAGATGCAGGAGCCACTGGGAATAGAGTTATGTGGGATTGAAGAGGGCAGAGAGAGGTTGATGTGAGGAGAAGGGAGAATGTTTCAGAGCAACAAGCTTGGAGTAATGAGGGTTTGGGGTAGTTGAAAGAGAGGGAACGGGAACAGTGGCAATTAGAAACAATACATGGGGAAGGGGGGACATATTGACAGAAGTAGTGTTTTCTCAGATCAATGATTTTTACATATCATACAACTAAGGGATGCAGGTTATTGAGTACTGAATTAATCTTAAATTGATTTATCTTTTTGATTGACTAATTTATAAGCTGCCATTTTCCTTAAAACATGAGTTTTTTTCTTGTATCAAAAGGACTTATCATAAAAAAAATATCTTTTTAAGGTGTGCTGAATTAAAAATAGTGCATTATGTAATTTGAACAGTTTATTGCACCTGAATGAATAAACAAAAACATTTTTTACACATTATTAAACCTATTTATAGAATCTCAGTAACAAACAATAACTAACAGAATGGTTTAGATCAGGCATGCTCAAAGTCTGTCCTTGAGGACCACTGTCCAGGAGGTTTTAGAGGTTTCCCTGCTCTAGCACAGCTGAATTTATTGACAACTGATTAAAAAGGCTTTTGCTGAATTGCAAACATCAGAATCAGCTGTGCTAAAGCAGGGAAACCTCTAAAACTTGCATGACAGTGACCATTGATGACCGACTTTGGGCATGCCTGGTTTAGATCATAGTTGTCAAACTCTAGTCTTGGAGGTTCATTGTGCTACAGTTTTTGGGGATGTGGCAACTCAAATAGACACAAATCAACTAACCAGACTACTACTTCACGGTTATGCAGCAATTTGTGTCATTCTGTGACGTGAGATATTATTGGTATGTCTCATTGATTCACAAAATGTGGTAAAAGTCAAAGGTGATTAACACTTTCAAAAGTAATGTTTGTCAGGAATAGAAAAATGAAATTTCCTGTTCTTATCTCTCTTAGCTCTGTTATTCAGGGAGTGAAGTACCAGTACAGGATCCAGGTGGAAACAGGCCATCTCCTCAGCTTCCCCTCTCCGCCTCTTGTCTACACACATGGACAGACCTACTGTGGGGACGGTGTCATACAGGGGTCTGTTCACTTACCTGAACTTTGGTTACTGGTTGAATATTTCCAAGAGAAATGGAGTTGGAAATAATGCTGCCGGTGATGTTTCTCTCCCTGCAGAACAGAAGAGTGTGACGACAGCAATCTGTTAGATGGTGATGGCTGCTCTAAGAAATGCTACAAGGAGACGGGCTTCAATTGTCATGGTGTGTACAAAAATCACTTCTCTGCAAAATAAAAGTCTGTTTGCACCGCTTCAAGCACAATACACATCCTATTGTAGTTTTTTGTAGCACTTTTTATAATGTCCCACATTGAAGAAAAAAAACAACCTCCGTCGTGCATATTAAACCTAAGCAGCATATAAACTTTCAGTGTGAAAGAGTAGTCACTAATCTGCCAAAAATCTCTCATTTGTGCACGCAGCAGCGTTTAGTAAAATCTATCCTGCCAATCAAACTACATTTACAAGACATAAAAGCTTCTGGCTTGACTGGATTCCACAAACCATTAATGCAACATCACAGCAACATAAGGGAAAACAGATGAGGCAAGGGGTAAAATAAGCAAGATTTTGGTTTCTTAACTTTTCATGGTTTTCTTTGAAAAGCATTTTGACATTAGCTTGGCTAAGATACACCAGAGGAAAAAACTCTAGTTAGCTGGAAAATGCACAGTTCTGTCTACAGTCAAATGTCATGCTGCTTTATTAATGTTGGTGTTTACCAATCTATACTGTCTTTCGTACCAATAAAAGAAATTGATCAAATATATATATATTTTTAATCAAAGATCAACCTATGAGTTAGATTGGATGTTTGAAAAAATCATTATGAGCAATGTTTTTTATGTTATGCCATCTCTGTAAACCAATATTAATACATTTTTACACATAACGCATCTCCCATTTTAGCTTTTCATCATAACTGAAATAGAACCTAAGTCTATGACTGAATTTGACTATCAGGTATGTTTTTAATAACTTTGCATGGATAGAGTGCAGGTGTTTCCCTACTGTTTGAAAAATAGCTTAAAGTCCGTCTGATAAGACGGAGTCTTTTTGTGAGCATCAGTTTTAAAGACCTGTCAAAGTTGTTCCGTAAAAGTTTAAAAAAACACTCCAATGGACTTGGTTTCCAAGATTGTAAGTGTCACAGTTGCTCAATGTAACTTCGATCTGGACTTTGATTGGGCCATTCCATTGAATTGAAACAAGGATGTTTAAAGTGCAGCCATTTCAATTCCTTGAAGGAATTCCTTTGTTTGACCCCAAGACTATGACTAACATTTTGTTTGAATATTGTTAGTTTAGTTTAAAAATCCCAAACTATTATTTGCATTTTCAACTTGAGATAGTGTTAATTTCAAACTTTAACTAGACTATTTGGACCCATATCACAAAAACATTGAGTCACTTGGGCTATTATGTTGTAGCTCAATCTGAATGGTTTGGGTTGGTGCCGTGTTGGAAGGTAAGCCTCTGCCCCAGTCTAAGTTCTTATGTGACGCTATCACCAACTTTTATTAAAGTGTGTGCTTCCAGAGTATAAGCTGCTCCTTTTTTTCCCACGCTTTGAATCTTGTGGATGATGCAAAAGTGCGGCTTTTCGGTGGATTTTTCTTCAACCGCCAGGGGGCGGAAATCAAGATTTGAAATTAAAGAAGAAAACTGAACCAATGAAGCCCAATGTGTGTCTCCTGCAGAGCTGAAATAAAGAGCTGATGAAGCCCCATCTTTCATTAGAAGCTCTTACTGCCACAAGCCCCCAAGCTACAGGAGATAGAGCCCTACTTCCTCCCTACTCTATGGGTGATATGTAGAGCTCCCCATTCAGGTTAGGTAGGAACATTTCAGTAGATATCAAATAACTTATAGTCCAGTACGGATTATATAGGTACATTTCCAGTTTTTTTAAAAACATTGCGGTTGCTGCTTATGTTCAGGTGCGTTATAAAGTCCGGAAAATACAGTAGTTCGCTGTGCTACTTTCCTTCCCTCTATACAATTCATGCTATTAGCAAAACTTTCAATATAATTGTCCAGAACACCTTCATCTTAAAGTTTTATGGAATACTCCAAATGGGAAGTTTATTTGGTTTTAGACAGGGGGGATGTTTGGCAAGACTCTTTCACATTGAAGGTTACGGTTCTAATGCAAGAGCTTATGAAGGTATATTAAAACAGTGTTTCTGACAGATTTATTGAATTTACGGTAATGCCTTCTTTAGGTTCTGGCTGCAGGGTTTTATCACCAATCATCTATTTTGTGAAGTAAATTTTTTTACCGTAAAAAAAAACAGTCAACTGTAAAGGTTTAGGTCAATTTATAAGTAACTAGGTTTCAAAGAATATTCAATGATTAAATTTTAAACCTTTAATTTAGTTTGTAGCTGATTAAACCTTATTGTCAAAGAAACATTTTTAAGGTTGTATCACATAAAGTTTGGCTCGGAGTGTTTATGTTGTTGTTATATATGCAGAATAACATTCTAATTTTAAAAGCTGTCTAAACCCCAGATCAGGTGGTTGAAAAGCTGTAAAAAGTACCCAAAGCATTCAGCAAAACAAGTCAAAAGACAAACAATTATGCCACAGAGAGTGTCCCTGTCATCTATGGATCCCACCACGAGACAAAAATGCTTTGTGTCTCCACCCTCACGCATGCAAACAGACCACAACAGAAGCCTCACGACAAAACACAACAGGGAGTTACCCAAAATGCTTTGAAACCCTAAAGCTTAAAACTTGTGTTCATTTTTGTATTATTATTTCTTCTATATTAGGTCATATAATAGATTTGTCTTCAATAATTCCCTCTGGCAGAGGAAACATTTTATTCCGGATAAGAACAGACATTAGGCTGAGTGAAACAATTCATCAGCTCCTCAATTGTACCATGTTCCTTCTCAACAGATTTAAATGTATCCTCTGTATTAAGGTGTGTTTGCTCGGATGGCCTCTTTTTTCGCCAGAAGCTCTGTCTCATAAATACTTGCAAATATTGCAGGGACTATGTGTGGGTCAGCTGAGATCAAACAGCATATTGCTTTTATTTTAAGCCATGTATTGTTTCCACTGGCAGCTGGATAGTAGTTATTCATGTATTCTGTAAAGGCTTATATTACGAGATCTTGTTACAAGGCCGAAATTTCCATCATCCAGTGAACTTATTTATCAGGGGAAAACAAGCCAAGGCAGACCTATAACCACAACCCCCCCAACAAAAAAACAAAACAAAACACCCACACACACTAACACCACAGTCTCACAATCATGCGTGACTGAAGCTATTACATCTCCTGTTATACAATAAAAGGCAGCATGACTAGGAAGGAAAACAATTTGGCAACAACAGATTTTCGCAAACTGCAACTCTTAAAAACAATTATTCCGCTTCACATCTTAGTCATAGAAAGAATATTTGTTTGGGTTTTCACTTACCACTCTCAGTTAGCAGTTTCCCTGTTTTGTTTTCTTTACTGAGTTCACCACAGTAACCACAGCACCCACTTCTGTCTATTACTGACAGACTTTTGCTTGTATCAAAGTATCTTATCCTCAATCATACTGTTTTATCCAATATTATTTGTTGAGGAAATTAAGACAACCAATTATCTTGAAATTCAGAACTTTGCAAACATTTGTTTGACATTAGGCATTGTTGTCTAGATTTTAAAAGACAATGCTAAACATTTTGGCTCATTTTGTTATCCTTTTCACTTTGTTAATAATTTGGCCATATGCTTTCTATACATAGGCTTCAAAGTCTATGCTGATGCTTGTAAATGTTTCCACATATGTACTTTTATTGAAATATTTCACAGTAAGACACTTTAATCTTCTGGAAACAAAACACTCACCTTTCTGAAAGGTATGATGGGGTGGTGATATCCATGGTGGGTTTACTTGCATATAAAAGTAAGACCAGATGATCATGGCACCTTCGGTCATCAGAAGTTGCAAAATTTTGCAAAACCAGAGGCATAGAGGCTTAGACATTGTGTGCATTCAATTTTCTTCTATTTGATCAGAGTTATTAAAATGGTAATATTAACAGAGTTAAAATAGAAAAAAGCTTGGTCTGATTTAGCATGAGAAAGTATATAAATTCACCTTTCTATAGCTATATAACTAAAAATGAAAAAAATAAATAAATAAATATAGTAGCCCAAAAAGTAGTTTTGGCTTAGAAAATTGTTGGCTGGGCTGCCCAAGCCAAAAATTGCCCCTAAGGACCCCCTTCTCAGAGGCATAGCCCAGTATCACGTATTGCAGGTTAACAAAGAAGGGGCATACTTGTTCTTCTGTTTCAATTTGCATGTTTTCTGAATATATATAAATGGGATATATACATAAATATATATAAATATATAAATGGGATATATCCCAGCCTGTGTTGCTCTTGTGATCATGATTTACTGTTTTAACAGCTTATATTGCCGTTTAGAGGATTTCTCAAATACTCCAATATTTAAGACTTGCAGTTAGTATTTTCTCAGAAATCAGGTAATTTTTGGTTTTAAAATACAGGGGAAACAGAGATATTCTGGTTATTTTCTTCCGGCATTAATAACAGTTCCATTTTCCCTCATGGATTCTTGAGGCACTATAAAGGCAGAGTTAATAAAAATCCCCAAAATAGGACAGGGCACAATAATAACACACTGTCTGTGTTTTCCTTTTCTACTGGACTTAGAACAAAAAGGGATGTTTGCTTTGACAGTTCTTTGTAACACATGATGTTATTGACACACAGATACTGAGAACCCACTGAGGCGCCTTTGAAATGAAAATAACAAGTTAAGTCTCTTATGAGGTTTATTAATATCACAAAGTCACGGTAATCTTTGATAAAGAACTAAAGTCAAAGTTCATGTCTTGCCATAATTTGTAGCCTGTTGACAGCAGAGGCATGGTTGAGCTGATGTGGCTAACATTGGAAGTTGCCAAAGAAAATACCAAATAGATTTACTCAGTTTTGGTTCACTGACAAACAGATTTAGATGATAGGCCGGCAGAGGGAGAGAAGCGTGCACAATGCCAGATGAAAAAAACAGGCTGTGTGTTCTTTCATAAATCTTATTCTCTTTCTTTTCCTTGTCTCCTAAGGTGAACCTAGTCAGTGTTATGTCTTTGACGGTGACGGTGTGTGTGAAGAATTTGAGCGGGGCTCAAGCGTGCAAGACTGTGGTTACTTCACACCTTTAGGCTACACAGATCAGTGGGCATCCAGTGCCTCGGCTTCCCACCAGGACCCCAACCTCTGCCCTGCTCAAGCTGCCACAGGGGAGCCATCCTTTCCAAAGGTACAAAGCAGAAGACAGAAATACTTAGAATCCAGGTTTATACAAATCCCTTTTTAGGAGAATGTCTGCTTAAATGTTAAAAAGATTATATTAGAGGAGTTTTCCTAGAAATCACCTCCTAACAGAAAATTCTTTCATGACTCAGAACAGAAGGACCCAGTTTTCAGGCAAGCAGATCAGAACAGGCAGGCTCAGAGGTCGAGGAGTCCGAAGCCAGGTCAGGCAAACAGGTCATTACAGAGATAGGTTCAGTGTTTGAGAGGCAGAACAGGTAATCAGAAACACTAAGGTAAGTTAATAAAAACACTCTCACCACAGGCTGGAGAGAAATAATCTGGCCCTGATGACTGGATGCAAGCACCTTAAATAGAGGTAGAAGCAGGTGGATCAGATAAGCAGTGATGAGAAACGGGGCAGAGATAGACAGGTGAATGGAATGAGTAATTAAGCCGGTCCTCAGTGCCAAGATCATGACAAATACACTGGTAAGGGCCTACAGATTTAATCAAATTTAGGTTTGAACTTGCACATGGATATGTTTTAATCGAATCCACTTCAAATTACTTTAAAGTTTTGGGTCTGTGTCCTGATTGAGGTTAAACCACCACCCCAGTTTCTAAGTCTTTTGCTTCCAGTTTGTCCTTCAGGACCTTGTTGTATTCAAATCCTTTTCTTGTCCCACCAGCTCTGATCACTTCCCTTTTACTGCAGATTTAAAACCTCCCTGCATCATAATACTGCCAGCACCGTGTTTTACCATGGGGATGTCGTGTTTATTATGCTGAACAGTGTGTTATTTGAATAAACAAAAAACACAATACTGCCTTTCACAAATGTATTGTTTCCTTTGAACAATGAAGTTACTTTTAATTTTCAAATTGCTGAAACTAAAAAATAAAAATGCACCTAAAAAGAGATATATGCTTAATTAACAAAAAAGTGCATAAGGTTATTACATTACAATTCAGATAACATACATCAATGGCTCAAAGGCTCAATATGATAAACTTCCAGACTTGCCCATTTGTAAGAAAATATCCACAAACTAATTAGGGTTTACTATCAGAACTAATATATTATTCGAACATTAAACAAATTCTTGGATGAGTCCAGGAATCTTATATGTATGCGTATATGTTTCTATGCAGGAACCAGAGTGCATCTATGTTCTCTGGACTGAGGTTTGAATGTCTCTCCTCAATCAGTCTTCCAGCTGCTCTGAAACTAAGCTCAGAAGGAGTACTCAATGCTAGGATTGCTAGAAGCTTCTTGGCAAGCTGGCACTAGCCCACCTGACCTCGCTTCCAGAAGTCAAAAACAGACTGGAAGCATGTCCACTTGGAATTAGTCATATATACTCTAGGGCCAACTGGCAACCCCGTCACTCCTTAATACCACTGTCCTCCTCCCTTTCCTTTTACCTTTTACCTCCTATTGGTTTGCTCCCGCTCCCATTAATATGTAATCCTGTACCATCCCAATCACGTGATTTTTACCAATGCTGACTCCCATCCAGCAGGAATCCCATGAGAATCCCGGGACCCGTGGCATTCCCGGACAAATGTCAGTCTCTATTCCCCATACAGCTTTTTTAACTAGGGCATTCAAGAAAAACTTGACTCTTTGACTAGTTGTCTTGATTAGAGTCAATTTACATCTGAGCAACTTGAAAGTTCTCACTCCCCCAGCCACAAAAGAAGATAAGAATAATCACTTTAATGTAAAACTTTTCTACATTGTGTTTTGTCAAAATACTAAATCCACCACAATGCAGCCATATTTGCTCAACACTATTGCTTGCCAGTGTCTCTTACAAGCTTTCTTCCATCCATTGTTCCTCTCTTAGACCCAGTTATATCTAGTTGACTGGACAAAGCTAAAATTCCCTCTGTTTGCATAAAACGCCTTCTTCTCTTTCCAGTTGGTGATAAGTGGGACTGGGACTGTTAGATATAACTGGATTCTACATCCGCTAATTATGAATAAACAGGGGCATATGTGAACTTCTGTAAACCCAAACTAGAGTTAAATCCCTGTAAAAATAAGGTGGGCATCCAATGCAGTGATGCCCTACACACAACACAAGCTGCTATGATTTTAGCATCTCACCTGTCTAGTGTTGAGCATTTTTTGGAGCCAGATGATGTCAGAGAAAAATATCTATACCGCAGAGGAACGGAAGACCCTTAAGGACAATACGAGCCATCACGGGAACCCATGCCAGCACCCATGTCTACATTAACATGCGTGCCACTCTATAATGGTAGTGATTGAACCATATTAAGCAGGCATTGGTGATGGAGCCAGATGGCTGGCTTTCTGAAGATAAAACACAATTTATTGTCAGATCTGTCACGGTTGGCCGATATGGCTTAAAAATGTAATCTCCAATTTTGTCCAACAAAAACGGATTAATCAATTCTTTTGCTTTCCACTTAAGTTTCATAATCAAAACAACAAATGACATGCATTGCATACAAGAACTTGCTTTCATTTCAATCATTCCTTCTGGGAGGGGACCTTAGTTTAAAGAGCAATGAAATGAATGAAATTCAAGCTCAACATGCCAGTAAAATAATCATGTTTCACAACAAACAATGAAAATATAACACTAAATGTTTGAAGCTAGAGGTATTATACAGTACGCTAGTTTGTCAGTTTTGAGTACACATTTAGGAACAAAACAGGAACTGATGTCTCTCTAAGCTATGGGAGAACAAGGAGAGCATTAGTGAAAAAAATCCAGAATTTCCCAAAAATAAAATAATCAAACAAGTTTTGATTTAACAATTTTCTCTATTAATCACCCAGACGTATGTTCAACTGAGCTGTGGCATGATGAGCAAAGCTCAGTGCCCTGGAAATTGTGACAACATTTTGGTAATTTTTAATCATTTAATTTGTGTGTTTTTCAAGTTTTCCTGCACTGGATGTTCAGCAAATGTGCTTTAAAGAGTCAAACATAGGAGTTTCTTGTTTTATTAAAGTTGTGTAAAAAAAGTGTTGGTATCTAAAAATGATATTCAGCTCTAACAAGATATTTTAGATATATAAATAGAATTTTGCAAGTAAAAACACAAGAAATGTTCCTGTTTGTAGATGGTGCCAAAATGTGCTGAACTGTGCTTAAAGGCCAAGCATCAAAGTATGTATTTACTAAAACTTCTGTTACTGTAAGTTTACTTCAGCTGCATGAATATTTGCACAGGTAAAGTCTACATGTGGATCTGGGGTTTCCAAATATTTGGAGCCTTATTCGTGATATTTCTAAAATGTTTATTTAGTATATAATTCAAGTAAATGGAGGGAAAAAATACTGTTTTTCTATGTTCCATCCATGTTTTCTCTTAAAGAATAGCAGCCGCTATAATACTTACACTACTGATTGAATCTTGGATAAAAATGTTTGGGTAAATCACCCAGCTTCAGCTTTTTTTTTTTTGACACTAGGATTCATTAAGTAGTTTGTAACAGCTTACAAAATCTTGTTTTAATTTGGGCATATTATTTTGAGCACAGACCTCAAGAGAACCTCTTGAGGCTTAAGATGTTAAATAGAGGTTCTGTCAGAGTAAAACAGAACAAAAACAACCTTTAAGGTAGTTTTATTATCAAAGGATTACTGATCACGGAGTTGGCAAAAAATGGATGTTTTTGTGCCGCTGTGTCTGTGAAGGAAAGAGAAATGCAATAAAGAAAACAGATCCAAGAATCATGAATAAAGTCAGTGTGACCAAATCCTACTTTATAATAGAATGTCAAACCCTTCTGAACTCCCATCTCTGTAATCGAGACAACTGACATGAAAACAACAGCATTACACCAACAGCTGAATATGTAATATAAACAAATGTTATATTAAGCAGATCAAATCTAGTAACATGAGCTTCACAGCTAAAAAACTGGCCAGGAATTTAGACAAACATGACCTGCAGTAATGTAGAAGTCAAAATTGGGAAGAAAGCAGGTCAATCTGTGTTCGGCAAAAATAATTGGCTTATTTGCAGAACCTTGCAAAAGTCTCTATAAAAATCTTTTCTCATTTATTCACTTAACAACCTACAACTTCAGTGTGTTTACTGATTTTATTAGATGAAGAGGCACAAAATAGTAATTACTGGTTTCAAGAATCACCAAATTATTAAATAGAGTTGGTCAAATCAATTCATAGTAGAAGTTAAAAGAGTAGGGTAATGAAACAATATACCATGCTTGGAATGTTTAATGGGGCTCTGTACACTTTGGAGAAAAGGTAGAGATCCACAGCTTCATAGGAAAATATTTGCTGACAGGATAACTTTACATAAGTATAGGACAGCAGATTCATAGAATAGGGTGCTCCTACAGTATCAGATGAAACTAGGACGCACCCAGAGCTACAGAAGTAGTTACATTGGCCTTGGTAAAAGTCCAGGCCTTGATTTAAGACTTGAAACCTGCACGCAATCTGGCTTGGGGTGAATTATTTTTGCAAAAAACAATGGGCAAAAAAATTTACTTTCTAAATGTGCAAAGCTAATTTAGACATTCCCCAAAACATATGTTGCTGTAATCATAGCTTAAGGTGGTTTATGTTGACTCAGGGTGGCTGAATACAAATATACTCAGATTTCTATCTTTTTTAGAATCAAGGGATTTTCTTTCTATTTTCTTCTACGTCACAATCAAGAAATACTTTATGATCTATCCCTTACAACCCTTATGAAATGGATTAGATCATTTCCTGCTATTTTTCCAACATATTGGCTGAGTATAATGCTAACACAAAGCCATTGATTAATTAGTTTCCTTTCTCTTGTACCCTGTTCTCTCTTTTGTTTAAAGCTTTGTAGTTTTCAGCACCTGGAGTTGAGCGACATGCGCTCTGATGCATGGTTCCCGTGCACCGCCCAGTCTGACACAAATAATGGACTGGAACATTCTTACTGGATAAAGGTATGCGAACCTCACCTTGTGTGTTTACCCATGCGCTGAATGACTGTGGGTGGCTAATATGGTTAGATTGAGCGGATGGCTGGCTCGAACCTCTGTGCACGCACATATTTTTAACTTTCTATCAATTACATGAATCATACAATGCTTTTGTAACAATGGTTACATATTTTCAAGGTCATGTAAATTGAGGGTTCTAATGATCTGTGGATAATTAAATCATGATTAACTCCCTTCTTATTTTTTCCCTATAAGGTGTCCTTGTATTTTTTTACCCAGTGGGCATTAATCATCTAAACCTTCTAGTAGCAATCACTGCCATTGTATTAATAGAAAAACACCAAGTGTTGCATAATTAACTCATTCTTCTTAATTAGAGAACAAAAACGTTTCCTCTGTTGTTAAAATACTGGCAGATGAAGGGGTAATTGTTACAAAAATGATCATTAATAGGCCTTTTTATCATAATTGGTTCATTTGTTATATTATGGATTTAACAAATGGTGTAGAATAATAAATCATTTACCAGTCTACTTAGAATGATACATATTCATTTTACTCTGTCATTAAAATTGCATTATAGAAAAGCATGAAAAAAGAGGGACTTGTTATTTGGACAGGAAGGTTTTAATAGGATGCTCAGTCAGCGTTCTTATCCTGGTTCACGTAAAAGTAATCATACTGTTTCATCTTTTTAATATTAGTCACATTGTAACCACAAATTCCTTTTATTTTACTGGGATTTAAGGTGAAAAAAAAAATAACGCTACTTTTCAATTCAAACAGAACTAGTTTATTTACAGAACAATACACTCAAGTTGGGCCAGTTCTGCAGGTTCATTAGGGTTTAGTCAGGGACGGAGTGGAGCTATTGATTACTTTTGCAATGAACAATCTGTTGATTATCTGTTGAATCATTTATTTAATAATACATACTTTTAGTGAGTTAAACTTTAATTAAAATCAAATTTTTTTAATTTGATTAAAAAATAAAAACATTTTTTTAATCAAATTAAAAATTCCAGATTCTACACACAGAAAGACACATACATGCCTGGTTCTCAATCCTTGGGGGACTTTGAATGAACTTCCATTCATTTCTAACCTATTTCCACAGCCTAACAGTGACCCTTACCCCAACCCTAACCATTATGGGTTCAAACTTAATCCTAATCCTTGACCTAAATGCAATTCAGACCTTAGTCTTAAACCTAACACAATTAAGCCTTACAAAGCATTTGTACCCATCGGGACCAGACACTGGTACCCACTAGAGCACTCGGTCCTCACAATGTGCTTAAATTTATGAAAGATGGTCCATACCATGTAATAAATACACTCCCACACGTACACACACACACACACACACACATTTGTTCTGCTATGTGTAGTGATGACCATGTGTTGACTCCCATTGACCTCCATGGACTTTCAGTCATTCTCAACCCTTTCTATGCCCTTACCCTAAAACTAACCCTAAACCTAAAAAATACCAATGCATACCTAACCCTAACACAACTGACAGATTAGCCCTAGACCTTGTGAGGACCAGCAACATGTCCTCACTTTACAACGACTGGTCCTCATTGTGACGTTGAAATTGTAAAAATGATCCTCACTCTGGTTTCTATACAAGTGCAAACTGTTCAATCGGTGTGAATACTTTTCCAAAGTATTGCACTTGCTTAGCTATTTATTCAATATATCTCAAGCATTCATGATTGCATTTTGCTTTACATTGATTCTGACTCAAACTTGGCTCCTTGTTTCAGACTTAATGTGTCGATATATACATAATATATGTATATTTTTCTCCAATGTTTTCATGGTTCAAGCCCCACATTTACATCAATCAACTATATGGTGCCAGATTTAGTGCAGACCAGCTGCTGATTTCATTAAAATCTCTCACAACCTTGTCTTTTGTTCTCCGGACTGCAGGATCCCCTATAATTTTGGTTCTTTTCTTATTTGCAGATACTCAATCATGTTTATCTTTTGTTTAATGCTTTCCACTACTTTGTTGAATGGCTCATCTTTTCATCATCTGCTTTCTTTTTCGGAGGCCCTCTTTATCAAACCCGTCTCTGGAACCTCCATGCTAGGCTGTCTTGAAAACCCTTCATTATGGCACCTGTGTCTGCCAGCTCTGCATGAACCATCTCCTTTTCCTTTAGGTTCCTTCTGTCTCAAGAAGCTCCCTCGTCTAAAATTTCGAGTCTGGCTGTCTGAAAAGCATCCCTCAGCCTTCTACTCTCATCTTTCTCTGCCAGCTCTATAAAAAGCAGCCGTCTCAATTAGCCGTATTTTGTTTGGAAGAACTTTTGCTTTTCTACAAGGCTCTTAACGTTTCCTGGAAGTAATACTCTTAACTGATTTCTTTTGAGGATGACATACAGTCTGCTTACTTCAGAAAGGGAGAAAACTTTGTGGTGTCATCAGAGAGGGGGATTAAAGTTAGTCTAATTTTATTTCTGCATATTGTCATGAATTTCAAAACAAAGTAATCTACGTAGTGTTAGCCAACTCTTAGATATTTTACTGACAAGGTCATTGCATAGAGTACGATAACTTCTTTTTTAACCTGTTACTTATTCTTTAACATTTTACATGATTTGCACAGAGACTGGAATCTATAACCTTTTTCATAATCTCTCATGATTACCCAGATTCCTGAGTCCTCCTTTATGCCCCCTTCTCTTCTGTTCACTCTACAGTTTGGTCTGGTTTGACAATGAAGTTGGAAATGAGCGATATTAGATTTTGTTTGTTGGAAAACCACACTGTGTTCAGTGATCTTTATTCTAAGGCCTCTTTGCTCTCTGTCCTGTGTCCATACCTGCCTGATCAATGAACACTAAATGCTTGAACATATTTCACCCAAACAATTAGTCAAATCGGTTTGACTTTATTGGTAGGGGCTAAGCTGACGCTTAAAGCCACTGGAGTGTTTTTAAACCGGAATCTTATGGTTGATGCGTGTGGCGAGGAAACGCTGTCAACTCACAGCTGACTGTTGTATAATTCTTTTGTTTTGTAAGCAGCAAGAGTGGGAATAAATCAGCCTTTAAACAGCAAAACAGCATCTGGACATTTCCTGTTCACCATCTCACCCTGGCAAAGCGCGTCAACCATAAGATTCCGGTTTAAAAACACTCCACTGGCTTTAAGCGTCGGCTTAGCCCCTACACTTATATTCACACGGGTTTACTCATCCTGTCTTTTCTCTACCTTGGATCAGTTGGGCTTCCTCCATCCTGGCGTGGCAGCTACTGTGATGGTTTACTTGGCCTCAGATGGTTCGTGGTCTGGGGAGCCATGGAGGAGAACAGTCACCATCCTCCTGTCTGACACCACTGGCAAGAATCACTCACTAGGTAATTACATTAGTTTAGCTTCTTTTACATGCTTTCTGTTCAGAAATTAGATGCTGCGTAAATCTCCAATAGTTAAACTTGTTAGAGACGTATGATGTATGCTGTTGTTTCTGTGACTAAAATCAAACCAAACCAAATAAACAGACACATTTACTCTATCCTGAAACCTTTCTTTCTATCTATCCAGGGACACATGTCCTCTCATGCTATAGGAACCCGCTGGTGGTGAATGTGACCCACGATCTCTCCCAGCCCTTCTTTCCTACATCCGCTGTTATCCTCCTCTTCTCTTCCCCCTATGTGGCAGTGAGAGCAGTGGCCCTGAGGACTTCCTGCCACTTCAGCACCTTCGCCCTCACCGGGTGCGCATCAGAGGGTGGGCTCTCCCACAACTTCCTACTTCTCATACAAACACACACAAAGTCATTAAAGCTAGTTGAAATATAGTAGTTCCTATTTAAGTGTAAGAAACTAACAGTCAGGCACCAGAATGGAAACACATCACAAAAAATATTAACGTAACCTTTAACTCCCTGTTCTCTCTGGGCTTTTGTTTTCTGAAACCGAGGAGTGTCGCTCTGATCTGATTTCAGCAGAATGAAGCAGGACTTGACATTTGTTGTGTTTATCTTCTTCTCATTTCTCTGCTTCTCTCTCTTTGTCCTTCCCTCACTTTTACAACAGTTGTCTGCAGCAGCCTTGTCAGATTGACAGCTGCAGTCCTCCACAGATAAAGCACGCTTCCATCAGGTAGGCCTTTTAGCATGAAAGACTGAGATTTTAGAATCAACATACAAAGGGCCATCAATACACCCTGTATGTGTCTCTGTAGATGTACTGGAGGAGGGGAAGCCTCCCGTTGCTCTGTGAAGTGTCACCGTGGTTACAGTATCACTGTTCTCAGTGGCAGGGGGACTCATCCACATCAGGTAAAGCCCACTAAATGTCCTAAGACTTCCATTGTAAGGATTTATTTGTCCCATTTGTTAGCAATGAATATTTGATAGACATTGGGTTGACTTTTTAATGCATTTAAACTGTCAAGTCTGATGTAAATTAATAATTTCTTTTCAAAATATTTGGAATAAGTTTGGGTGATTGGACGAACCTATCGACCAATGATGATAGAGTCAGCCCTTTAACAATTGTTTTTTTAAGGGCGATTTCTATATTGTTGACACTGCCCATGACAAAAAAACCCCACCAAAATGCTGTTTTTAAGGGTACACACAAACTCCTTCCAGCTGCGGATTTTTCCCCTGGTACCAGCGTGCAGCATTGATTTATCTACTTAAATTTAAGACAGAAAGAAAGAACTAAACCAAATCACAGATTAGTTGTTTATTTGTTTGTTTGTTTTTTTTAACAGCAGGGTTCAGTTCTTCAGATAAATCAATAATTATCACAAAACTAAAATGTCTCATAACATGGTCAGAAGAACTGGAAGAAAAAAAAAAGTATTTCCACTGGACAAATTTTTTGACAAGAAAACAAGCATGTTTACCCTATTGGGTATTAGCAGTTGGCACACACTGCACAATATTACCAGCGTTGCAGAAGACGCGCTCTGAGGGTTTGCTTGTCTTTGCACACAAAACGAATATATCGTCCATCGACATTTGTTGGACGGATGAATATCGGTTGAAAAATGTTTACATATCGACCAACCTTAATTTGCAATATTTAATTCTGAGCAATAGATGAATTCAGTCACCAAAAGTATGTCAATTAAAATATATTTATTCACTTGCACTCAGTTTTTTCTTTATTTTGGCCTATACTCTTTTTGTTCCTTGTCTTATACCCAATACTTGAAATCCAGGCTTGTATGAGGAACACATCCATCTTCTATTTCTGATGAGAGTTGTGAATATTTTGATCTCTTCAAAAGGTTGAACAACATCTTGTCTAAGCCTGGAAATGTAATTGTCTAATTTACCTTATTCTTCTTTTTTAGAATTCACTAATACCATTTGTTATATAATTACTCCAACCTTGAATATGAAAATGTGTCTTATAAAGCCCCAAATTAAAAGTCAAAGTTCTGATAAGCACTGTGTTCCTTTTTCTGACTACAGAGAACGATCGAGCTGGATTGTTTACATGGTTCTTGGGATCGTGTCGTCAGTTGTGAGCCTCTGGACTGTGGATTCCCTGATCAGTCTCATGTGTACCATGCCATTTTTAGCTGCCCTTGGGGAACCACTTTTGCCAAACAGTGTTCCTTTACCTGTGGCCCCCCGGCCATACTACAAGGTGACTCTGAACTTTATCGCATTCATTCCTCTTTCTAACTTTATGCAAGCTAAAGTGGATCTGATGTTGTTAGTCTTTAGGTCATCATCAACTATCTATTGTCACAAATGGCATTTCATATCTCAATAAATGAATACTCCACAGTTTTATGTCTGATTAACCATGCCTACTGTTTGATCATCTCTTTTATACTAGGGCTTCACAATAACAGTGGTGAGTCTAGATATGCACAGCTGACCATGTCTGCTGAGATAAAATAGGTGTCTTTTTTACAGACTTTTGATTCATGGATGGAAAAGTCACTGTAAGAATGTTGCTTCTAACATGAGCTTTTTCTTACGTCTGCAAAAGAACTATATTGCGGTCTGTAAGTATGCAGGCATACTTAAAATGTTGGCTTTTGATTCACGTAAACACATTTAAAGGTCATCATGCATCACAGAGCAGGAAAAGCACAAAAATGTGCTCAATCTTTTCCAGATTAGCTTCTTATCAACAGAACTACAGTACGGCTCCTAGGTAGTAGAATGTGAATGATGTAATAAGACCCGTAAGGCGTTTTTTAAGGCTGACGGTGTTATAACACTCATAATTACAATTTTTATTCAAGCCAAAAATTAACACTTGATTTTTCTTTTATGGTTCAATCCAAACACATATGGGTGAAAGGTCACCAACATTTATTTTCTTTCTTAATTTTATTGTGTTGTTGATGTGTGGCTTGGGGCATTTATAAGGGTTAGCTTGCAATACAGTTCTAATATTTTCAGCATACCTTAGATGGTTATGATGGGGGTATTTTTAAACAAAAGGTTATTTTCCTTTGTCTGCACATTGTTTTTATTTTGTTCAGATATGTCAATGAAGATATTTCTTTAATAGTAGTTGGTGTGGCTTTTATGATGGTTTGAAACACTTGGTTAGTTTAAATAAAGCATATAAATATAGGCTAAAAAAGATTTGCCTTTTGCCTGTAATTACATTTGACTATCCTTCTCTTCAATTCTTTCCAATATCCTACATATCTGTGTTTCTCTACCTCTCAGGTGACAGTGATAGGCTAACTTGTTTGGAAGATGGTCTGTGGTCTTTCCCAGAGGCCTACTGCAAGATCGAGTGCCCTGAAGCTCCAAACATTCCCAGTTCCAGACTGCTCACAGCAGACTGTCTGGCTTCAGGACACGATGTCGGGTCCTTCTGTCGCTACAGATGCAGCACAGGCTTCTACCTGCGGGGGAGTCTTAAAAAGAAGAAGCCAAGGTAGGCAGCTTAGTATGCATTAGGTAGAAGGTTTCTACTCATACCCTAGAGAAAACTGGATTCCTTTTTATCTATACACTGCTTTGATAGTCTGGTATATATTCATTAATTTTAAAAACTGATTTTTCTCTTTATGCACAAAGAATAAGGTAAACTCTGTGCTTGATCAAATTTGATGACAAACTGCGCATTACAGTTTGCTTTAATCAATTTAGGTACTTAAAGCAACAATTAATAGCCAAACCTGAAATTAATATAACTGGGATACATAAGAACGCCTTAGGATTGCGCCTGTGTTATTCGCAGATTATGTGGTTCTATGGGCTTCATCAGGGCGAGGGATGAGGATTAGTGCCTCCAAATCAGAGGCTATGGTCTTGAGCTGGAAAAGGGTAGAGGGCCTTCTCCGGGTTGGGGAGGATGTACTGCCCCTAGTGGAGTAGTTTAAGTATCTTGGGGTCTTGTTCCCAAATGAGGGGAAGATCGATAGGTGGACTGGTACGGCGTTTGCTGTGAAGCGTGCACTGTACCGGTCTGTTGTGGTGAAGAGAGAGCTGAGCCAAAACGCAAAGCTTTCGATTTACCGGTCGATCTACGTTCCTACTCTCATCCATGGTCATGAGCTCCGGGTCATGACCAAAAGAACGAGATCCCGAATACAAGCAGCTGAAATTAGTTTTCTCCGTAGTGTGTCTGCGCTCTCCCTTAGAGATAGGATGAGGAGCTCAGTCATCCAGGGAGGACTCAGAGTAGAGCCGCTGCTCCTCCACATCAAGAGAAGCCTGTTGAGGTGGCTCGGGTATCTGATTAGGATACCTCCTGGACGTCTCCCTGGTGAGGTGTTCCAGGCATGTCCCACCGGGAGGAGATCAGGACACACTGGAGGGACTATGTTTCTCAACTGGCCTGGGAGCGCCTTGGGAATCCTCCCGAGGAGCTGGCCCAAGTGGCTGGGGTGAGGGACGTGTGGGCCTCCCTACTAAAGCGGAAGAAGATGGGTGGATGGGATACATAAAATAGTACCGCACCTTGCATAGCCTCTTCACCATTTCAGCAACTGATTGTAATGATAATGACTAGGTACTCATTACTGAAAAAGATGTTTGTAAGAAGCTGTGCTTAAAAAAAAAAAAAAGAGACAAAGCTTCTCGCATTGTGATGTAACACACATGGTAGAAACCCAATATTATGATTAAGCAGCGAAATTTGAGGGTTTGTTTTTAAGAAGCTGGTCAGAACTGATGAATAGATTAATAGAGCTACAAGCAAGGCAAGGCCAGACAATCTGCTAGTCTGTAAAAGACTGGACTGCTATCCTCATCCAGCTACAGCTCCATTGTTAGCGTTTACACGGTCAAATCCAAACCCCATGCAAAGATGTAAAGCACTTGGTAGACATTCAGAAAAGATTTGTAGTGTAAAACATTAATGAAAAATATGGTTTTTAGATTTTTATATTTAAAAATTTTAAAACCTCCATTAACTTACATAACAAAAAAAAATCCCAGTGAAATACACTGAAGCTGGTGAGACTAAAAGAGAAGCAGTTCCAGGGGTGTGAATACTTTTTGAAGGCACCGTTCAATGTTGTGATCTATAGTTGCCTCATAACAAACATCAACCTATATGTGCTTGCATGAAAAGGCTATAAAACTATACAGTTTATAGGTTTATTTTCTATCACAATTCCATTTAACAAGGTTAAGAACAATTTATTTTAGTAGTAGTTTGTAGGGGGGTGGCTTTATGAGTTACACCTTGTCAAACATACGTGTAAACTATTTAATAACCCATGATGCTTGATTAGTCCAGCATGTGAAAGTGAACATGAGCGATCATTAAACAGCCTTAAATGGCGTTTTCCTCTTGACTTTAGAACGTAGACCCTTATTAACAGATATAACATATTTTTGCTTTGACATGCTGTTGGGGCCAGAGAGGGGATCTATTTTGCTCCTAATTGGAAACAGTCATATTTTTGCTATTAAATCATAAATATTTTAAATCCACAGTCTTGACTTTCTTGCGATAAACCTCTGGGAATCTCATGTTGTATCTCAGCATGCTGGGTTTACTGCACTTAATTATGCTTTTTTGTATTCTTTGTAGAACATGTAATGCGCCACATGTTTAATAGGATTTTTTGCACGTATGTGTGATAGACCATAGAGGGGTTTGATTTTAAATACTGCAAATAGGTTACATGCAAGTGGATCCTGTTACAGCCTGCATGGAGGTGAGGTTGGTGGAACTGTTGTCTTAAAGCCTAAGTTTCGCTACTGACCTGCGGTATTTCTCCCTGTTCATGTGTGGGTTATCTCTGTGTACTCCAGCTTCCTCCCAGAGTCCAAAAACATGACTCTGATTTCTTGGTTACTTATTCTCTCTAAATTAGCCTTGAGCAAGGCAGCATGTAGGCATGATTTAGTTTGACCAGTTTTGTTACGCAAAATTAGCCAGAGACCTGAGTATTCTGAGTGCCAGAGAGCACTCAGAATATTTGGCCAAGAAGATAAAGAAATATACGTAAACTTCTGAATTTTGAAAAACAAAATAAAGAATAAAATTTGTTTTAAAGGATTTTCTGTCATTTAGCAACTTAAATATTTTTTGTCATCCTAGCTGACTGAAAGAACAAAGATTTGAGTCTGATTTCACGTCAGAGACTGTAAAAATGGATGTGTACCATGAATTGTATTTAAATATTTGATTTTCTGTAGGAAATACTTTAAATTAGAGTGCCTGGAGGATGGTCAGTGGGAGGAAAATGGCTGTGAGCCAATATCCTGCCCAGCCCTGCCAGATGTGTTCCAGGGCATGTACACCTGCACTAACGGCCTTCACTACAACAGCCGCTGCACCCTGCAGTGCCCCGAAGCCACCGAAAATGTAACGTTTCCAGAATTTTTTCTCTGTCTATTTCCATGAACAGTAAGTTTTGCTTTACTAATCAAGGCTCTATCTGGAGCATTAATTGTATATTTTGCCTTTTCTACTTTTTAGAGTGAAATTCGCTGCAATAAGGATGGTAAATGGACAGCAGAGTTCACCATGTGCTCCAAGCTCCAGGGTTCATGCTCTGCTCCCTCCAATCTTAACTATGTTGAATACAGCTGTGACCAGGGCATGAATATTGGTGAGCCAAACCCAATTTAGGTTGATTATTTTTTTGTTGCAAGTTAATTACCAAATAACTGTTCCTAAACAGATTTTTCATTCCTTTTTTAATAATAGCTGTTTTATAATCGCGTTCATGAGTGCTCTGAAAGCATTATGTTGGTGTTGCAGCATCATTTTGTCAACATTAAAGTCTTTACTTTTGTTCTGACACTAAAGGCACTTCCAGTTTTCTTTTAGCATTCCTTGATTTCCTTCAATTTTAAGTAATTTTTGAGCTCATGCTGTAAAAACATGGCCCAGACGCCATTAGGAATATCAAGAAAAAAATAAAAAATAAACATCTGGAAAGATGACTCTTGATAAACTGGGAGACAAGAAATTCTGAACCTGATTATAAAACCAGAGCTGACAAAATCAGATATTAAAAATCAGGATGGATTCAGAGTCTTGTGGGAATCAAACATGCTCTTCTCTTTGAAAGCCAACAATAATAGTTACCAGTTTATGTTTGTTTTAAAAAAAAACAGTCAAACAAATTAGGGGCTGCAGACAACATGCCTGCTGCCTTTTGAGTTAATTTAAACCCCAACTTGGCTTCCTGTTAAGCACAATTTGTTAGTTCCTTAAAAGTTGTCTTTTTGGTTATTGTTTTCATCACCCTTTTCTTTTCAGGTGATGTGTGCTACCCATCATGTGTTGTGGCCCTAAACATGGATCTGCATGACCCAGTGGTTCTATCCAATGGAACTACACCTGGAACTCTGAAGCACTGGATGCTGCCCACCACAGTACAGGTGAGAGAGACAGATGAGCTCATTGATCCAGTGCTCTGAGGAAACCCAACTTTATTCTCCATTGTTTACTTTTATTTGCTTCTTTTTAGAATTCTTTCAAATTTAGAATACATCATAAATGTTATCTTATATTGGGAAAGGCCAATAGTTTTGAACTAAAAGCAATGTCTGTCATACTGTTTAAAATCATTTTGGAGAGATTATAGAGAAACATTCCAACTTCTCCTTTCGCTTTAAAACTACAGCACATTTCTTATAAGGGGATAATTTAATTAACCAGCTGATATCTGCTTATAAAACCTTATGTATGTGTACAGAAGATCAAATTTGGGTCACTTAATAAAGACCAGATCAAAAACAAGGAAATCAGATGAAAAAATTACTATATGCTAATAACAAAGCTTTTTTTTTTTTTTTTAAGCAATAATATATATACTATAGTACCTAGATAACTCCATTAGCACTGTAACCACTAGGGGGAAAATAAAAATGGTTGTTTAATTTTTTAAAATTAGCTCTATTTTCTGGATAGAATAATTAACATCTAATTTGTTATTTTTTATTCTTTGTTTAAAAAAAAAAAACTTTACTATAGAATAACACACCAAGTGAGTCTCATTGCTTCACTAAAGCAGGGTATTAAACTAAAATGTCCATATGTGTAGTTTTATATCAGTTTATTGTGATTTTTTTTGTCTCATGCTATACAGGACTTAATAATATTAACATTGAGTACAGTTGAAAATAGATATATTTCAATGTTTCCCTTGTTTCAACAGAACGGAGGGAACAAAGTGCTGTAAAAATCAGCTTTCCAATCTCATCTCATTTATGTCCCAGTATATTTTATTTCTTTCCTAATGAGGCTGGACGCGGTGAAACAACAGATAGCTTTTTATTAGTTAAAATAACTCCAGTTGTGGTTTTTTTTGTTTTGCTACTATTTGGAAACTCATGGCAATTATTACTAAACTGTAGTTGTTTTTGCTTACTGGCTGCCAAGCAACTTGTACTGGATGCCATGAAAGCCGATCTGCTGACAAACAGACCTGAAAGTTTTACAGCAAAGCACCCATCAGAATGAATAATTCATGCAAACATCTGGTGCTCTGAATTGCAAGCAGCAATGAATAAACCTTGCCCTAAAAAAAAACGTAGCCGACGAGCACAAAGTCTGTTCACAACTTAGATGGAGGTTTAAAAACATCTGTGAAAGAAAGAAAATATCAATCAATTTTTTTGCCCACATGTCTAAGAGACAAAATGCATTTCATACCAGAGCTGTTGTTACAAATTTAAATTTAAATCAAAAGCAAATAAAAAACATATGCAAAATTTTTTTGCGTATTGCCACATACTGCAATTTACAATGCCTTAAATGTTACTATTAATCATTTTAAAGCTATCAGCAGACCTACTACAGGTTTCCTTTTAGGATCAATTTATAGTTATTAGCCTCTGATGAAGAAAAGAAACATCTCCATTGCAGCACAATTCTGCCACCACCATGTTTTGCACAGGGAATGATGTGTTGTTTCTTTTGATTCAACCTTAGTAGGCTTTTAATAATAGCTTATAGAGAAGCATTAGTTGTCAGAAAATGTGGATATATAGTTACACCTTTATGTGGCTCAGAGAGTTGATAAGACAGCAGCTGTGGCAAGAACTCGCAGCCTAGTGTCAGACGGAGTCCCGCTATGCAGAATGTTAATAGCAGCTGGAGGCTGAGGGCCTACCTCTGTCTGCTGCTCCCAGGGATCAAAACTAGACTGGAACTAATGGATACATGCACAGCCAGATATGTTTCATATCAGATATTAGATTTAATCTTAAAAGAGTTTTCTTGAAAAATAGTTTTATTCCCTGACGTGCCAGCTAATCACATCATAAAATCCACCTTGTGTGTGTAAATGCTTGTTTGATTTAGTTCAAGTGTTTTTGTATTACTGGAAATCCGAGGGAGATAGCGCGGGTAAAGGTTTCAGTTGACGTCAAGTCTTTTAGAAACTGCACACGTCTCCCAAACACACAATGTATACAAAGCAGCGAGAGAAAGGAATGTAAGATCATGGGTCTGAGTCTCTGCACTTGTTTTGCTCGAAAGGAGGATTATGTTACTCAATAGCATATCTTAGAAATCACTTCCACGTTGATGTTGCTGCTTGTGCTGCTTTACTTTTGCCTTACTTTTGGGTGGTCAGTCAGCCAGCCAGCCTGTTTGTCCTTCTTTGCCAAGGTTAAATACTTGCACTGAGGTCTGATTACTTACGCCATATCTTTGGCACTGCCTCGCGATTTCAAGGCATTGTGTTATCTTGAAAACTTCAGAGCCTGGTCTTTATTGCGATGTCAGGCTGTACAGGAAAGCCCAAGGGGAAGATCCAGTTTCTGTATCCATATTTGCTAGTCAATCAGCTGTCTGCTGTCCACCTTGTAAATTACTGAGGTCAAATATATATCACAAGATCTCATCCTCACAAAAGTTCACTGCAAAAATGAGGAATTTTACGTTTAGGTTGAGAAAATTCTTATTATGCTGATCTCAAACTAAAGAATAATCTACCCAAGCGTTTTATCTTTTAAATGTCGCTCTTTTAAAGTAGGACAGCACAGCCCTGTTATAAAAAAGACAGTGTAAAAGTATTCAAAGCTTTGAAGGGATTTTTTTTATATATATATAATTTTCCATATTTAAAAATGCTAACTGTTACGCATATCTTTAGAATTGTATTTATTGATTTACATCTGAATAAAGGGAAAGTAATAAAAAAAATCCCTAGTATGTTTATATTCAGCTTGTTTTTGTTCATTCTTCTCAATCAAACTAAAACATCAAAATTATTTCAGAAATCATCCAACTAGTTAGCACCTGTACAGTATGTATTAAATCTCAGTAAAAATCCAGCTGTTCTGTTCAGGTATTACAGGTTTGTTAGAAAATATAAGTGAAAATTAGGCGTCATGGAGACCAAAGGACCCAGTTGACAGGTTTAGGATTGGGTTATGGACTACTGGAGGGCATGCTTGGGTTATAAAACCTTAGAAGCTTTAAATAACTGTCCAGCTATAAGTGGTACATTCCACAAATCATGGCACAATGAGAGGGACCAGGAAGAAAATCATAGCCGAGAAACAGCAATAAGAAGTCTCATTTGTGATGAACTTTGTAGGGAAGTCCGCATATGGAAGAAGGTTCTCTGATAACTTTTTCACAGTATCAATGTGTGGTGGTAGCTGCAGGATTTTTCTGAGGGTCATTTCAGGCTTGGATATTGACGATATTAGAGCTGATCTAAGGAGAATGGCTGGAGCAAAATAAAGGAGAATCAAAGATGTATCTTGTGAGCCTCCAAAAATTTCAACAGAACAGTTCTGGCGCTCCTAGGGAAAATTTGAAACAACGCGAACAACTCCAGCTGGAAAAACACAGAGGACGACAGACATTTTTACTGACGAGGGTTTGTCAATATAAACATCTAAACAAATAAAAAATATTACTATGATCAACAGATTGAGAAGGACTTTTGGAAGAAAAAATTCTGTCTCTTTGCTGAAACAAAGAGACTCTAAAAATTAAATAAACAGTGTTTCTACTTCTGCATGTTGTGTGGTGTTATAAGCATGCCGTACACGTCCCCCTACAGTCGACCAGAATATTAGGTACATGAGGAAAAAGCTGCAAATGCAGTTTTCCACATGGACCTTTGTGTGTCGAGCAAACAGCAATTTTAAACGTGACATTTGGTTTAAATTGAAGCATATCCCTGTGTAAGAACGGCTCAGTCCAAATCTTCAGTTATTATTTAAGAAGAATGAGCGAGATTACTCTGTAAATGCAGAAAGTTGGTGTAGCAAACACACTGGCAGAAAAGCAAACACACTCTGCACTTGTCAGATAAAAAAACAAACTGTTCTTTTCATTTTATAATCATGCAGTACACGTATTTTGAGTCAGTGACTCAAAATTACTTAAATGGGTATAGCACTTTGACAAAGCAACTTATCTACCCATAGCTATGCCCATATGAATATTGTATTATATACCAATAATAAGGCAACACCTTTGAGTGTTCTAATTGTTTTTTTTAGCTATCTAGAATTTAATGTCAACATCACAAAAACTCAATTAAACATGATTGTGATTAAATGCTATGCAAACATTTCAGTAAATACTTTTATATGCTTTGTGTTTGTTTTTAGAGCATAATTTGCACCGGGAAGATGAAGTGGTATCCTGACCCTGAAAACATCCACTGTATCCAGTCATGTGAGGTAAATTCAAGGGAGTTTTGGACATACAACATTGTTTTCCTTTAAAGTATATATTTGCTCACTGAAGCCAACACTGAAAGAAAACAAAATTCCATCCAAATTTCAGTCTCACCAAGGTTTTAAGCTCATAACAGCATCTGTTGTAGTGTAGACTGATTGTTTTGCCAAATACCATGATTCACTAGAGTAGAGTGTGCCTGAATTAGCATTTTTATCTTCTGCCTGTCACAGATTGGATATTTTTAGAGCATTTTAAAATGTGAAAAACAAAACTGTAAAAAAGTGAGACTAGTGTGGATTTACTTTTGCATATATCTATGGTATTCTGGAACATATAAGATGTCAACTTCAAGGAAACCTTAGTTCCTCTTTTCATTCTTTGTTAATCCTGATAAGTAGAGGTTTTTGTTTTACTTAATAAGATTAAACCATTTTTTAGAAATAACCTCATTAGATGTTGTGGCCCCGGCCAAACCCTTCCAGTAATACCAAACATGAGGCAAAACACACTCTGTCCTTGTTGTCATCACTACTTAAAGTACTGGAGCCAGTGCAATATGGTTCATATTTCACAAAGAAAAATCTCATGCTGAAACTGATATCCTCGCATTGCACTTCAGAAGAATCCTTTTAAAATATATCCAAAGAGCTTTCCTTCCAGAGAGTCTAACGTTTCCAAATGTTACTGTGCCTGCCAAGCCTAATGAGTTATCTGATAAAGGAAAATGAATTGATCACTGGATTCTGTTAGATATGGAATAATTATTTATCCTGACACAATGTTTTTAAATTTTTCTGCTTTAGTTAAAAAAACAAAAAAATCACAGTGCATCCAAGAGCTGGTCTTTAGAGAAAGGATTACTTCCTGTTGTGTGACACTCTGGCACCATCAGTTTTCTAGTAAATATATGGATATTTGTAAAATTCTACAATTCAACTCCCCCAATCATCCCACCCTTTAAAAAACAAACAAGAAAAAGAAATTTAGAAAAATGTAAAAAAAACCTTGAGTAGCTGAAAACCAGTTTGGAAGCCTGTTCGCTCATCTTCCACCTGTCCTTCCGCCCATCCATCTTCTACTGCTTGTCTATCAAATAAAATCGTTCTGATGCTTCTTTAAAGCATCTATGGGCGAAAGGTCAGGTACAACCTGGGCAGGTCATTGGTTAATGGCAGAGCAGCACTGAGACACACAAACATGTACATGCAACCTGACAATGTAGGGCAATTTAAAGGCAATACTTGCCTTGATCAATCCTTTTATCCATCAACCATTGGTCCCTCTATCTATCTGTCTTTTCATCTGCCCAACTGTTCTTTTATCCATACATACATACAT